CTATCAGCAGCATACGCAAGGCACATAAAAACAGGACCGATGCCCACGACCTACTGATGACAAAACAAAACATTAATCGAGATATAAGAAATAACATAACAGTGACGCATGAGCCACTGTTGGTATGACATGTGGCAAATTTTTTAATTTGCACATTGTCGCATATAGTACATCGTTTGTGACGCGATGTTGGTAAAAAAATAATTGCGCGCGACTCGGTTTTCATCCCGCACGACTCGGTTTTCATCATGCGCGACTCGGTTTTTCGCGTTTGTGACTCGTAGTTCCTGGACATGTCACGACCAAAATGTACCCTTAGGAGTGACGACTCGGTTTTGGCTCGGTTAGTGAGTAGGTACATCTCTGATTATGAACTTTCCAATACTATAGATCTCTTTGTATTCTCCTTAATTTATTTACCAATACATGAATACTTTACTTCCGCTGCAGGGCTACACTTGGCACAACATGCTTAATTGCTAACAAATGTTTTTTCTACCTTGTCAGAATCCCAGTCACTAGACCACTGGGATAAAATGGCTTGTTTCAGTTGTCAGAAGTACGAAGAGGAATGAATGAACTAGCAGCAAGATTGGTACAAGTGGGAAACCCTAATAGGGTTGTACCCCATATGGGCTACCCCACTACAACCTACACAATAAGCAGCATATAAGTTTGACACACCCCCATAGGCAAAGTGGGGGAGAACAAGAGGTCACAAGACCGGTCAAGAAAGGCAAAGCAAGCTCAGGGTGGATCACGAAGTCACCACGCATTCAGAGCACAAGCAAATGGCCACAAGGCCAGTTCACATGCAGAGTTATATATAAAGGAGAACAAGCAGTACAGTGATCACAACCTAGCAAGTGTAAGCATGCAGGTATAAGTATATAGATCACAGTACAAGCAAAGTCAAGAAGTGAGCAAGTGACGCCAAGTAGGCACAAGGCCTAGAACAGTACAGAAACGCTGATGATCACAAGGCTGAAGCGCCTTGGTGAAGATATCAGCAGTGTTGGCCTGAGAGGCCACGTAAACAAGACGAAGCTGACCACGCTGCTGCAACTCTCGAGCAAGGAAAAAGCGCAGAGCGATGTGCTTCGTTCTGTGCTCCAGTCTGTGCTCCTGACACAAGGCAATCATGGCCTTGTTGTCGACGTACAGAACTGGAGGAGAACGAGGCGGCTCTCCCAAGTCGGTCAGCAGGTAGGTGAGCCAACGTAACTCCTGTGCAGCCATGGCCCCTGCGTAGATCTCAGCCTCACAACTGGAACTGAGAACAGAAGACGAGCGGGTAGTCCGCCACGAAACAGAGCCGGAGCCAAGGCTGAAGGTGTAACCCTGTGACGACCGCTGCGTAGCCAAGTCGTCAACCCAAGAAGCGTCTGCGTGACCAGTGAGGACAACTCGAGCCCGACCTCCAAGCACGAGCCCCATGCCCGACGTACTGCACAAGTAGCGCATCACCCTCTTAGCGGCCTTCCAGTGCTCTGGTCGGTGTCTCCCGGGCGCAACGTAGCGAGCCAGGATGCTAAGAGGGTAAGCAAGGTCAGGTCGAGTGCAGGTCATCAGGTACATGAGGCAGCCCACAAGCTCTGGATACGGGCCACTCGACTCTACGGACTCATCCGAAGGCAGAGCTGAGAGCGAGTGGCCGGTAGGCAGAGGAGTGGACTGTGGTGAGGAGGACTCGAAGCCGAAGCGCTGAAGCACCTGCTGCACCATGTGTGACTGAGTCAAGGTAATGGTGCGCCGTGCTCTGTCCCGGGTGATCTGCAAGCCAAGATAGCTGCGCAGCTCGCCCAGGTCTGTGCACGTGGGTCTCTTCTGCAGCTTCGACTTCACGTGGGCCAGTCTAGCAGTGTCAGCAGTGGCAAAGACCAAGCCGTCGACGTACACGAGGATGTAGAACGGCGGCAGTGAAGTGTCGGTGCGTAGAAACAGCGACGGGTCAGAAGTCGAAGGAGCAAACCCAAGAGCCGCAAGCGTCGTCCTCAGTGTGTCGTGCCACTCGCGAGGCGCCTGGCGGAGACCGTAGACTGGCCGCCGGAGGCTCCACTGAGTACCTGCAGGAAACGACCCAGTGAAGCCAGGTGGGCGGCGCAGCCAGATCTCCTCGTGCAGGCTGCCCTGTAGGAAAGCAGTGCTGAAGTCAAGAGAGTGAAGCTCATAGTCACGCTGAGCGGCGACGTGCAGCAGAACCCGAAGAGTGGTCATCTTTGGGGTAGGGGAGAAGATCTGGAAGAAGTCAACTCCCTGTCGCTGACTGAAGCCTCGTGCAACGTAACGCGCCTTGAAGACAGGCGGAGAGCCCGGCGGCCGCTTCACCCTGAAAATCCACATGCCACTGACGATGTTCGCCCCAGGTGGGGGAACCTCGTCGACGTAAGTGCCTGTGGACTTCCAGGATGCCATCTCTGCGTCCATGGCTGTCTGCCACTGAGAGGAGTAGAGACCCTCTATCGCCTCTGCGTAAGAGCGCGGGGTCGGGATGTCTCGTGCATCCGGGTCTCCTTTAGGTGCAATTAGCATGGACACGAGATGAGGTACAGCAGCTGCAAAACACTCAAAGACCTCCTGCCTGTCCTTAAGGACGTCCGTGCCAAGAGCACACTCACCCCCGACAGACGGAGTACAGACAGACTCAGACTCAGCAACAAGACTAGCGGCATAGTCGAGGCGACAGGCAGCAGCAAATTCAACAAGCTCAGCAACTAGGGCAGACGCAGCAGTGGACTCAAACGAAGGGTCAGTGACAGCAGTAGCTAGAAGACGTGTGACAGTAGGACTGGCAGCACGAGCAAGGTCTGACGGCGGGTCAGGGACGTCAGGAAGAGAGGACTCAGGAGGAGACAGCAGAGGGACACGCAGTGGAACAGAGGAAGGACGAAGTGCCATCTGGTGCGTGCCGGGGACAGGAGGAGGACGCTGACGCGGAACACGACGACTAGTGCGAGTAGCGCGAACAGGCGATGCAGGACGAGACGCAGGCTCACGACGCTCAGTAAGACCTCCTGTCTGCTCAGTGTAAGGAGAAGGAGCAGGCAGTGGGGAGTGTGGCTGTAACTGCGGCTGCGACTGGTCAGGCGGTGGACACAGTAAGGGAGGAGTAAGGCCAGTAGAAGCAGGCGGGAGACCAAGAACCTGCTGAAGTAGTGGAACGCAGTACGGTCGCGGCCGCACAGCGCCTCCAGAACCAGCACCGACAGCACCAGCACCCCCAGGGCCAGCTCCTCCAGCTCCAGGGTCTCCAGCTCCAACTCCAGCAGTACCACCAGCTCCAGCTCCAGTGCCTCCGGCTCCAACGCCTGCAGCACCTCCAGCTCCAGCAGCTCCAGTACCTCCAGTACGAGCACCTCCGGGACCAGCGGCTCCAGCACCTCCAGCAGCTCCAGCTCCAACAGCATCTCCAGCTCCAGCAGCTCCAGTACCTCCAGTACGAGCACCTCCGGGACCAGCGGCTCCAGCACCTCCAGCAGCTCCAGCTCCAGCAGCACCTCCAGCTCTAGCATTTCCAGTACCTCCAGTACGAGCACCTCCGGGACCAGCGGCTCCAGCACCTCCAGCAGCTCCAGCTCCAGCAGCACCTCCAGCTCCAGCATTTCCAGTACCTCCAGTACGAGCACCTCCGGGACCAGCTGCTCCAGCACCTCCAGCAGCTCCATCTCCAGCAGCACCTCCAGCTCCAGCAGCTCCAGTACCTCCAGTACGAGCACCTCCAGGACCAGCGGCTCCAGCACCTCCAGCAGCTCCAGCAGCTCCAGCTCCAGCAGCAACTCCAGCTCCAGCATTTCCAGTACCTCCAGTACGAGCACCTCCGGGACCAGCGGCTCCAGCACCTCTAGCAGATCTAGCTCCAGCAGCACCTCCAGCTCCAGGGCCTCCATCGGTAGACCCCCCAGCTCCAGCAGTGCCACTCCGGAGGCTCCTGCGCCGAGAAAACTACTTGCGCAGCTGCGGTGGAGAGAGTGGCTCCCCCGTGACAAGACACCCGGAGGACCTCCAGAAGACAAAGTACCTCCAGGCGCAGCACGCTCAGGCTCAGCACCCCCAGGCTCAGCACCCCCAGACTCAGCACCCCCAGGCTCAGCACCCCCAGGCTCAGCACCCCCAGGCTCCGCACCCTCAGACTCAGCATCCCCAGGCTCAGCACCCCCAGGCTCGGCACCCCCAGGCTCAGCACCCCTAGGCTCCGCACCCTCAGACTCAGCAACCCCAGGCTCAGCACCCCCAGGCTCCGAACGCTCAGGCCCAGCACCCCCAGGCCCCGCACCCGCAGGCTCAGCACCCCTAGCAGCACCAGAGTCGACAGCTACCTCGACAGGCTCGACAGGGTCTACCTGGGACACACCTGAGGGGGCAGGACCCTGAGGGGGGAGGGGGTCTACCAGAGGAGGACCTGGTGCGAGGAAGAGCGGTGGGGGGGGAGAGGGGCAGTGCGGTAGGGGAAGAGACGGTAAAAGGGAACCGACTCGTCAAACGTGACGTCCTGAGAGGGCAGGACACGGCGCGAGGTGGGGTGGTAAAACTGCCAGCCAGGCGCGTCAGGGGGAAAGCCAAGGAAGACGCAGGGAATGGCGCGGGAGGAGAGCTTGTCCGCGTACGTATCGCGGACAAAGGCACGAGAGCCCCAGACCCGGAACACCGACGCATCGCCAACCTCTCCCGTCCAACGCAGTGTCGGCGAGGTCTCCGGCAAGGAGACACGGGGCCAGAGGTTGAGCTGATGCGCAGCGTATCGGACCGCAAACGGCCACAGAAATTGGGGGGCAGCTGCATGGATCATGACTAAGCCAATGCGGCGCTCAGCAACCCCATTCTGCTGCGGAGAGGCCGGAAGCGTGAACGTCTGGCGAATGCCCTCCCCACGACAAAAGTCCCGCAAGAGGTCGGATGAAAACTCACCACCTCTGTCAGAGTGCAGACGCAGGACGGGAAAGTCCGACTCGAACCGCTCGCGGAGCTGGAGACGAACAGCGCGGATCCAAGGGATCAAAACATCAAGGACCTCCCGCTTGGTGCGCAAGGGGAAGACCGTGGTGTAACGCGTGTAGTCGTCGACAACCAGCAGAAAGAAGCGCTCGCGGCCCTGTCCACGGACCCGGGCTGGGCCCCACACGTCCATGTGGAGAGTCTGCAGGGGAGCAGTCATCGGGGGAAACGAGGAGGAGTGAGGAGCGGCGCGCTGCAGCCCCTCGACACAGGGAAGGCATGGAGGGGCGGGCGAGGGTGGGAGGGGAGGCAGAGTCCTGGGAAGACCAGAGACAAGGAGACGAGAGTGCATGCCACGGAGGCGCTGCACTGAGGGGTGACCAAGACGGTGGTGCCAAAGGAGGGTCTGGTGCGACTGAGCGCGACACGAGCAGGGGGCCGCTAGCTGACCTGACGCAGACGCAGACGCAGCTACCTGTGGAGACACAGTAGTCAGTGTGTACAGACTCGAGCCAGGCGCACGGGTGAACGTGGCCAGGTGCCGGCCAGTCCGGGAGCACGTACAGATCGCCACACGCTGTCCTCCTGGAGTAAAGGTGTCAACCCATACATCCTGAAGGACGGCGTTGCTCACCAAGTTCATAGAGAACGAGCGGAGGTGAAGACCTGACAGTGAGCCAAACGGAACCGCTGGACACGGGAGAACAGTGGAGGAACGTGCAAGGACTGGGCCCCCAGAGGGGTCAGCCAGAGAGACAGCAACAGGTGCAGGGAGCGGGGTGAGTGCGGTATTGTCGTGAAAGAAACAGCGGGAAGCACCTGAGTCAAGCGTGAAGGTGTGCAAGGCCGCAGCATACGCAGTACCAGAGAGAGCAGACTCACCAGCACCTAGAGCAGCCGACTCAGTAGCACCTAGAGCAGCAGCCTCTATACATGGGTCTGGCGGCATACACGAGTAACAGTCACCCTCAGCACTAACAGTCAATGCATACATGGCAGAAAGGATAGCATCATAATCAAGAGCAAAGATTTCTACACCCTGCCTAAGTAGCTCTGCCCAGCGGGGGAGCTCAGCCGCGTCGGGAAACTCTGCGCGGAAGGCGTCGGTAAGACGAGAGAAGCAGCGGTACTGGGTGTGGAGCTTCCCGCATGTCTGACCAGTGCGGTCACCTGTGCGAATGACATACGGGCAGGGACCACTACCCCCAGCCGCCCCACGCTGAGCAAACCACTCACGTAGCTCTCGGGGCGAAAGCTGACGCTGCTGCTGCTGCCTCTGACCACCGCCAAGGCCTCCCCTCTGACTGGTACCACCCGGCCGCCACCACTGCCACCCCCTCCACTCCCACTGCCGCCACCACTGCCGCCGCCACTACCGGCACTGCCGCCACCACCGCCACCTACACCTCCACCCCCACCACCACTCCCTCCGCCACCGCCGCCCCCTCCACCGCCTCCACCGCCCCCACCACCGCCTCCACCTCTGCCACCCCCACCGCCCCTGCCTCCCCTGCCCCTGCCGCTGCGGCGCCTCCCACTAGGGGCAGACGCAGCTCCTACCTCCTCAGCACGAAGGTAGTCAACAGCTGCAGCAGAGGCGACTGAGGGGAGAAGCGGGGAGGGCGAACACCCCTCAAAGAAGGGAGTGCGAGGAGTGCCACGAGAAGCGCCTACAGCGACTATGCTAGTCTCAGCTGCAAGGAGGTGCTTCTCAAGCAGGTCAATAGTGAGGATGGTGGGGTCGAGGGCAAGAAGGAGGTCCCTGACAGCGCTAAGAGAGTCAGGAAGGCGGGTGACTATGAAGTAGAGAGTGATGTACATGGGAGGTGGGTTCTTGGTGAGAAACTCGGCTGGAAGCGCAGCGCCGTAGCGAGTGTCACTAGTGCGAAGGTGAGTGACGAGGTCGGCTACTGTGGCAAAGGCGGACAGCTCTTGGAACAGGTAGGGCAGGAGAAGGCGGCCTAGAGCAGCAGTGGCCGGGGATGAGTAACGAGCGACTACAGCGTCGTACAGTGCTTTCGCAGTCTTGTGCTGTCCGAAGTGAGCGCGTTCGGCTAACGGCAGGTGGTTGCGAACGGCTAGGCGAGCAGCAGCGTCACGAGTAAGCCACTGTGAGCGAGTCGCACTGTCAGCTGTGTCGGAAGGGGCGACAGAGGCGCCAGAAGTGAGGTCAAACAGCGAAATACCGTCCTTAGAGTCGCTCAGTAAGAATAGCTGTAAGTCATCGAGCCAAGAGTCGAACTCTATCGGGCGGCCCTCAGAATCAAAGGTGAGGACGCTCAGGGTCGCCATAGCAGGCAGAGCAGGCAAGCGTGCTAGCAGCAGGGCAGCACGCAAGGAGGGCAGGGCAGGGCAGCGGCCAGCAGGGCGGCGCACAGGAAGGGCAGCGCGGCTGCTAGCGGCGCAAGGGCAGGGCAAGGCGCGCGGCTGCTGGTGGCGCGCTGGCAGGGCAGGGCGCACGGCGGCGGGCGGCGCTCGGGCAGGGCAGGGCCGGCGGCGGGCGGCGCGCGGGCAGGGCAGGGCGCGCGGCTGCTGGCAGCGCGCTGACAGGGCAGGGCCGGCGGCGGGCGGCGCACGGGCAGGGTAGGGCCGGCGGCGGGCTGCGCGCGGGCAGTGCAGGGCACGCGGCGGCGACGCGCGGGCAGGGCAGGGCGCTCAGCAGCGCGCGGCTCGCGGGCAGGGCACGGCACGCAGCGGCGAGCGGCGCGCGGGCAGGGCAGGGCGTACAGCGCCGGCGGCACGCAGGCAGGGGGATGCGGCACGGCGGCGAGCGGCACGCAGGCAGGGCGCGCGGCGCGGTGGCGAGCGGCGCGCAAGCAGGGCGACGCGGCGCAGCGGCGAGCGACGCGCAGGTAGGGCGCGCGGCGCGGCGGCGAGCAGCGCGCAGGTAGGGCGCGCTGCGCGGCGGCGAGCAGCGCGCGGGCATGGTAGTGCGCGCGGCGGCGAGCAGCACGCGGGCAGGGCAGGGCGCGCAACAGCAAGTAGCGCGCGTGCAGGGCAGGGCAGGGCGTGCGCGGCAGCGCGACGCAGGGCAGGGCAGGGCGGCGCGACGCTAACAGTGCGGCGCGATTCGTGGGGTAGCTCGGTTCGGTGGGCCCTAAAAAAAATAACCGGTCCTAGGCTAAGACCTGCTCTGAAACCATGTCAGAAGTACGAAGAGGAATAAATGAACTAGCAGCAAGATGGGTACAAGTAGGAAACCGTAATTGGGTTGTACCCCATATGGGCTACCCCACTACAGCCTACACAATAAGCAGCATATAAGTTTGACATCAGTAGCGGGTCAGTGCGCCCATAACCCCCCAGGCTAACATGCCTGTAACCCCCCTAGGATCATTCGGGGATCTCAAAGTGAAGCTCTACTTACACCCCCCCACACTCGGAGGTCCAGGACTCGCCTGCATTTGCATGTTAGAATCTGTGAACAGGAATGATGAATGACTAGCAACAGGGAGATACAAGTATGAAACCTAACTGGGGTTGTACTCTATATTGAGCACCTCACTGTAGCCTAGCAGAACTAAGAACATACAAATATGTTTTGACACACACCCCTAGGCAAAGTGAGGGATACCCAACACAACAAACGGTCACAAGACCAGTCACGCAAGAGAACAAAGCAATGCAAAGCCCAGGGTGGATCTCAAGATCACCATTTGTTCTGAGCACAAGCAAGCGGCCACAAGGCCAGTTCACATGAAGAGTTATAATAGCAAGGCAGTACACTGATCACAACCTAGCAAGAGTAAACATGCAGGTATAAATATAGATAGCAGTGTACAACAAGTGCAAGGTCAAGAGACAAGCAAGTGAGGCAGAGTGGGCAGAAGCCCAAGAGCAGTGCAAAAACGTTGATGATTACCAGACCCGAGGGCCTTGGTGAAGACATCAGCAGTGTTGGCCCGAGAGGCCACGTAGGAAAGGCGAAGCTGACCACGCTGCAGCAGCTCTCGAGCAAGAAAGAAACGAAGAGCAATGTGCTTCGTTCTGTGCTCTAGTATCCGCTCGTGACACAAGGCAAGCATGGCCTTGTTGTCGACGTACAGAACTGGAGGAGAACGAGGCCGCTCCCCCAAGTCGGTCAGCAGGTAGGTCAGCCAGCGTAGCTCCTGTGCAGCCGTAGCCCTAGCGTGGATCTCGGCCTCACAGCTGGAACCAAGCACAGAAGAAGTACGAGTGGACCTCCACGAGACAGAACCAGAGCCAAGACTGAAGGTGTAACCCTGTGACGAACGCTGAGTCGCCTGGTCGTCGGCCCAAGAAGCGTCGGAGTGTCCTGTGAGTACCACTGAACCCCGTCCTCCAAGCACGAGCCCCATGCCCGATGTACTGCACAAGTAAAGCAGTACCCTCTTTGCAGCATCCCAGTGCACCTTTCGGTGTCTTCCGGGAGCCACGTAGCGAGCTAGGAGGCTGAGAGGGTACGCGAGGTCAGGTCGTGTGCACGTCATCAGGTGCATGAGGCAACCCACAAGCTCCGGATACGGACCACTCGGCTCTACGGAATCGTCCGAAGGTGGAGCTGAGAGCGAGTGGCCAGTAGGCAGAGGAGTGGGCTGTGGTGAGGACCACGTGAAGCCGAAGCGCTGAAGGACCTGGTGCACCATGTGTGACTGAGTCAGGGTGATGGTGCGCCGTGCTCTGTCCCGGGTGATCTGCAAGCCAAGATAGCTCCACAGCTCACCCAGGTCAGTGCAGGTGTGTCTCTCCTGCAGCTCCGCCTTCACTAGGGCCAGCGCCTCTGTGTCAGCAGTAGCGAAAACCAAGTCGTCGACGTATACGAGAACGTAGAACGGTGGCAGGGTAGTGTTGGTGCGTAGAAACAGCGACGGGTCAGCAGAGGAACGAGCAAACCCAAGAGCCGCAAGTGTCGTCCTCAGTGTGTCGTGCCACTCGCGGGGCGCCTGGCGGAGACCGTAGACTGGCCGCCGGAGGCTCCACTGGGTACCCGCAGGAAACGACCTAGTGAAACCAGGTGGGCGGCGCAGCCAGATCTCCTTGTGAAGGCTGCCCTGCAAGAAAGCTGTGGAGAAGTCGAGGGAGTGCAGCTCGTAGTCACGTTGTGCTGCAACGTGCAGCAACACCCGAAGAGTAGTCATCTTCGGTGCGGGGGAGAAGGTCTGGAAGAAGTCGACCCCCTGTCGCTGACTGAAGCCTCGGGCAACGCAACGCGCCTTGAAGGCAGGCGGAGAACCCGGCGGTCGCGTCACTCTGAAAATCCACATGCCATCGACTATGTTCGGCCGAGGAGGAGGAACCTCGTCGACGTAGGTGCCTGTGGACTTCCAGGAAGCCATCTCGTCGTCGATGGCTGTCTGCCACTGAGAGGAGTACTCACCCGCGATCGCCTCAGCGTAAGAGCGCGGGGTAGGGATGTCAAGTGCATCCGGGTCTCCCTCAGGGCAAAGCAGCATGGATGCGAAACGAGGTAAAACAGCCGCAAGACACTCAAGCTCAAACTGCCTGTGCTCAAGGACGTCACTCCTAAGGGCAGGCTCAACCCCGACGGACGGAAGACAGACAGACTCATACTCAGTAACAACACTCGCGACGTAGTCGAGACGACTCCTAGCAGCAAAGTCGACTAGCACAGTGACTAGGGCAAACGCAGCAGTAGACTCAAGGTCAGGGTCAGTGACGATAGTAGCGTGGAGACGAGTGACAGTAGGACTGGCAGCACGAGCAAGGCCTGACTCAGGGTCAGGAACGTCAGGAACACTGGACGTCATAGGAGACGGCAGGGCAACACGCTGTGGAACAGATGAAGGACGAAGTGCCATAACGTGAGTGCCTGGGTCAGTAGGAGGACGAGAACGGGCGACACGACGAGCACGAACAGGTGTGGAAGCACGAGTCTCAGTCTCACGACGCTCAGTCAGGGACTCAGTCACCTCAGTGTGAGGAGCAGGAGCAGGCAGCGGGGAGCCAGGCAGTAGCTG